GGGTTCCGGACCGGTCCGGATATTCCGGAATATTCCGGGTTTCCGGAAGTCCGGATGTCGCCGGGAAGTCCTGGGTCTGGGGTCCGGATTCGGTCCGGCGTAGCTATGCAAAATTCCCATCTTGAACATGCCTTGAGGCTTGCGCCAATGTTTGTTTCAGGGGTGGGCTTTGTGAGACGGGTGGGGGGGGCTTGGCATGTTGCTCCCCCAACTTGGCGCCCCCCCCAACCTTTCCCACAAAACCAAATTCCCACTGACCCGTGTATGTATATCATCTCATCTGATTTGCATTGTGTCAAACTCCCCAACGAACACTGAGATAGGCTGGTAGAGTCAACTGAGATCGGACTTGATGGAACCCTGTTGTCTTCGTGAACCCTGGTCGGCGTTGTTGAATTATGTAATGCAAGTTACGCAAGGCTAAAATATCGGAGAAGCTGTAGAAATTTTGATCTCTAGAGCCTCCAAAAGAAGGAGCCCACTTACTAAGTGTTTTGTTTTTTCTTTTCNGCAAGGCTAAAATATCGGAGAAGCTGTAGAAATTTTGATCTCTAGAGCCTCCAAAAGAAGGAGCCCACTTACTAAGTGTTTTGTTTTTTCTTTTCTTTTCTCCCCCCTCTTGAGATATCATCATCGAACTGACTGGCACAAGGTAATTCAAAATTGTAGTAGTATTTTGCTCATTTGCTTCCAGTGGAGCTCAAACTCAGCTCTGTATTTCAATTTTCAACAGTTAAGGGGGTGTACCCACTGAGCTAGGCCAGTTGGTGCCCTACGAACTTACAAAGTGTTTTCTTGTTTTATGGGCAGGGTAGGTTTCATCCTCCTCTGGGTCTATCAATGTCATTACTGGATCTGAACATTTAATCAAAGATTCAATGATTCATTAATTTATAATGCCTAAACACCCATTCAGGTTTCTTCAATAGGGCAAGTAGGGCAACAACATGGAACATTCAGCTACCGTCTTCACCCGAATAGAACGCCTGGTCATTAGAGCTGTATATGGTGCAACTTTCAGTCCAGGTACGGCGATAATTACCGGGCGTTCTATGCGGGTGAAGATGGTAGTCTCTCGTCATTGTACCTCATGCTCCCAGCAGGCCAGGACGTTGCTGGCGAATCTGCAAATGGCTGACCAGCATCATTTGGCCGAGCCGGGAACCGCAAATTGCCCCACAAGGCGTAGGCCACACGGGTGATCTGCAAATGGCTGACCGGCAGCAGTTGGCCGAACCGTGAATTGCCCCACATCGATGATTTGGAACCGACTTACCACCGGCAAACAGCCCTGGACATGTCTGGGTTTCAACACCATCTGGGTGATCCACAAACTGTTGGCCAGCATCCAACACTCCAGCCTGACATCCTTCCCAATCTCTGTGGTCTGGCTGCAACTAATATTTGTCTGCACATTCTTCACTGCCCGCTTTGTACAGTGTTGGACTTCCTTGCAAACAGCCCAGGACACTTCGGGGTATCAACACCCTCTGGATGATCCAAAAATTATTGGCCAGCATCCGGTACTCCAGCCTGGCATCCTTCCCATTGGCAAGCTCTGTGGTCTGGCCGCAACTAATATTTGTGTGCACATTCTCCACTGGCCAATTTACACTCTGTTGGACTTTCTTGCAATCGCCCTACAGCTTGATGCTGATCTTCCATTCCTTCAGACAGAGGATGGTAGTTATACCAGGGAAGGAGAGGCTTTGCAGTTGTGGGGCTACAAGTAGCAACGAGGGACCCCCAACTTGAACTATGGCGCAACGCTTTGGCAGTTGGAGTGGTTTCGTCCTCCGTCACACATCTCTGCCTGCATCGTACACAGGCCCGGCCAGTACATGGCCATTGTACATGCCTCTAGGTTCTAAGTTCCTTTTTTTTTTTTTTTTTTTTTTTTTTTTTTTTTTTTTT